CGTTTATCAAACTTTTTCTTACTCAATAAGTGTGGCTTGATATTGAGTAAGAAAAAGGTTGATAAACGCTGTGAGAATGGGTTTGCAGAGAGAATTTCGCCGCGATCCCAACTGTCTGTTATCAGCCTGCAGCCAGGGAGGAGAGATCAGCAGAGCTGCCTGCACTGAGTGTGTGTGTGAGGAAGTCCGTGGATTGGTCAATTTGGACCAATCAGCGGGGGCTTAACGTAACGGCTCCGCGGACGTAACGTAACAGCTCCACGGATTGTTCCATTTGGTTCCGGGTAACGCATGACATCATGAGTTACCCGGAAGAATCAATGGACAGTGACGTATCTCCAACGAGGCGTTTTGGGAGGTATTTTCTGTGTTAGAGTTTTACTCGCTACAGGGTGTACTTTGAGGGTTTTGACTCTGCAGACCATTTACATGCATAAAAACCTTCATAACACACAAGGGGACGGGTAATCACCGGAAAAGCATGACATGGGACCTTTAATTTAAAAAAACGGATTGCTCAACAGATTTACATATTTTGGGGCAACATTTGTGAGAGTCAACTTTCTGGAAGACTTACAGGGAACATTAGCAAGGACAGAACATATAGCACTGTCAATAGTAGTAGTAGGCGTGTCAAGCTATTGCAGTGACTGTGGCAAAGTATTATAGCAATCTGTAGAAATGATTATGTGCAAGTACTGTGACCTCCCACACAGAGATCTACATTTTATACGAACCGTATACCATCAGGACTGCTCTTGAATACAAAACAGATGTTTAAGCGACAATAATGAGTACTGTCTAACTGAAATAAGAGTACGAAATTAAATCTGATGTTTATGCCTCTGCTTTGGCTGCAGGGTGAAATCTAATTTTGTGCTGCCTGTGTGCATGACCGGAGAGGATGGAGGACAGAGAGTACCCGGGCCTCTCAGCGGAGACAGAAGCTATAGCGGCATGTCAATCGAGATAATTAGTGCTTACACTGAGGGAATGAGACTTCAATCAGCAGAGCTCTGTGTTGATCATCAGTGTTTAGCATTTCTCAGAGTACCATCACTCTGTTAATGGAGTCACTGACCCACTGGCTTGTTGGCTAAAGGCAACAAGAGAATGTGCATTCATTAAGACACACTCCCTGTGCTTCACTTGGCCATTTTTTCCTTCATACATGCTTAAAGTCTACAAAATATTCTGGTTTTCCAAATGATTTCCATGATTCCATACATTTTCTTGTAGCACCACCAGCAGGTCTTTTTTTTCAACCTTTGTTATATCTAAATATTAAATAGATGGATTAGAACAAACAGCCCAGATGATTGTCAAACATAAACTGTACTGTTTGTTTTTATTGATCTCGTGGCAGAAAAATGTATTGACAGAAAAGACAACTTTTAAGTGGGACTTATCCGCTAACACATCCTTCAACTTCAAGTTTGTTTGTTGGCATTAAATGCAGAGCGTGTGGAGAGGATGTGGTCGTGGCGGCAGCTGTGTGGATCTGAGAATGCCAAGCCATCACTCTCCTTTTGAAGCCAAGTGTGAAATGGGCTTTAAATCACTTCTACCCCAAGCAGTCACATTATTGATGGCAGCCTCTGAATCCCATGAACGAGGGAGTCTTATCGGTTTAGCACAAATGCTGCAAATTAGTCA